CCAGGCTGTGGTTGGTTTGTGGGCGCTCTGGTGGGATTTGTTCCTTTTTTTCCTATCAAATTATTTGTCTTCCTTATCTCTCCTTTTTTCTTTTTTTTTTGGTATGTTACTCATGGGTAGAGGGTGCGGTGGCAGAGCAGTTGGTGCGCCCGTCTCCGAAGCCTCGGTTCGGACACAGATTTTTTTCGCCCCCTCCTGCCCACCCAGCTTTAATGGGTACCTGACTTTGAGTTGGGGAAGTAAAGGCGGCGTGGAAAGGAACTGGCCACCCTACCACCATATGCCGAAGGCCCAGGAAGTTGTCTCACTAACAAGGCAATCCCCAATGTCCGGATCGGATGCAGGAACAACCTTACCTTTTTTTACTCATGGGCGGTTGGTGGGTGCTCTGTTGTGGTTTGCGCCTTCTTTCCTATCAAACATCTATTTTCCTTATCTCTCCTCCTTAAATCTTTTTTTATATGTGTGACTCGTGGGTGGTTGGCGGGAGCTCTATGGGAAGGACCAAGATGTGAACACTCGTGAGGACTGGTCTCGTTGACCTAGGCACAAGTCACAAGTCACCGAAATTTTTATTTCTTCTATTTGTCATTGAGAAATATTCCCCTCTGCAGGTGAGTGGTTGGTGGAAGTTATGGTGTGGTTCTTCTCCTTGTTTCCTCTGAATTATCTATTGCCCTTATCTTTTCCCCATCTGTTCTTTAATCTGTGGCACTTATATGACCTATCCAACATCTATCGTCCTGGCCTCTCTTCCTTCTTTTTTGTGCTTGTTTCTCTCTTGTAACACCTCTAATCTTCAGCACAAATATGACCTTATTTTGTTGCAAATTCTGCAAAACTCTTACTAAAAATGACCGTTTGCTCAGTCTCTTATGATATAGACAAGTTTCGACTGTACCGCCTTTTTGCATGATAGTAAACATAAAACTGAGTCGAGTTAAATGATCCAGGTAATTTACATTCTGTTTGATTTGAGACATGACGAATTTGCTGTGGTTTTGTAGATTTTTGCTACGATTGTAAACAACAGAGCGATACAGAGCGGCAGCTGAACTGGTTCACCGCAGACCTATGAGTTAATCACCGGGTCTCATGACACGACTGTCTGATCCCCAGAACTGTATACTAAGGGTTAACCTTCGGGTCTCACAACATGTCTGTTTGTTGTCCAGAACTGTATACCAAGGGTTAATCACGACACAGCCGTTTCTGTTCCCCAGAACTGTATACCAAGGGTTAATCACGAAGTAATCGTTTTGTTCCCCAGAACTGTTTACCAATGATTAATCTCCTTGTGTCAAAGCCCGACTGTCTGTTCCCCTGAACTGTATACCAAGGGTTAATCTTCGGGTCTCACATGTCTGTGTTCTTCAGAACTGTATACTAAGGGTTAATCACGACACAACAGTTTTGATCCCTAGAACTGTATTCCAAAGGTTAATCACGATACAATCGCTTTGTTCCCCAGAACTGTAAACCAAGGGTTAATGTCCTTATGTCATAACACGACCGTTTGTTCCCCAGAACTGTTTACTAAGGGTTAATCTCCTTGAGTCACGACACAACCGTTTTGTTCCACAGAACTGTATACCAAGGGTTAATCAAGATCCAGTACTAAGGGTTAATCATGACACAACCGTTTTGCTCCCCAGAGCTGTACGGTGACGACTACCGCCAGTCGTCCGTGTTCTTCTACCTGTGGGTGGGCTCGGCTGTCATCAGCTCCTGCTACACCTACACCTGGGACATCAAGATGGACTGGGGGCTCATGGACCGCAATGCCGGCGACAACCGCTTCCTGCGGGAGGAAGTCGTCTACGCATACAAGGTCACTCGATACTTCTTCTTTCTTCTTCTCGATCGCATCACGCTTGAAGTCTGGTATCTGTCATAAATTGGGCCGTCGTGCTCAGTTCATCTCTCGGCCCATATAGCTTCTCTTGTAGCGTCAGTAGGGTTGGCCACGTTTCCTGTATCAGGGCCCTGTGTGTCTTGCAGTGCTGAAGGATGTGTTCAACTGTTTGGTCCGCCTCTCCACACTGGCATTTTGGTGATTGTACTAGTTTAAAACATCTGTACATATGTTGTCTCAGTCTTATGTGTTGTGTTTTTAGTCGGAAGATAATCACTTGTTCTTGGCGGGACAGCTCATGGTAGCTATCTGGTGTCTGAGGTGCTTTAAATAGTGTGTTTATAATAGTTGTCACTCGATATACTTGTGGTTGGCGGATGCTCTGGTGTGGTTTGCTCCTTCTTTCCTATAAAAAATCTATCATCTCTATCTCCCTTCCTTCTTTTTTGTGTTTGTTACTCTCTTGTAACACTTCTAATCTTCGGCACTTATATATGACCTTATTGTGTTGCAAGTGCCGTAAAACTCTTACTGAAACTAACACTAAGACTTTGACAAAATTTTAGATACACATCATCACATACCAGGGTTCCCACCCAACCGGGAAAATTGGGGAAAAGGGGGGAATTTCATTTGCAGATTTCCCGATTCGGGAAAACACCATGAAAATGAACGAGAAGGGAAATAACTGGGAGAAACCCTGGAAATCGGAAACGGGTGGTTTTTAAAAAAATGTTGCTCTCTAGTAACACCTCTAATCTACGACACTTTTTTTATGGCAGGTTCCTGATCTGTGATATCGGTTGCTTGTGCTCAAGAAATAGTTCGTCGGAAATCAGATTTTTAAATATTTGAATGAGATTGTTTAAAGAATGAAACAATTTTTCCTCTGTTCGGTAAAATTTTGCCCTCCGGGCTTAGAACATTGGAACATCTTGCTCATGAATTCTTCTCCTTTTCCTCCTCCTCCTCCGCCTCCTCCTCCTCCTCCTCCTCCTTATCAATTATCATTATTATTGTATTGTTATTCTTATTACTATTGTTATTATCATCATTATTATAATTATTGTTATTGTTTTGTTATTGTTGTGTTTCCCCAGGCCTACTATTACTTTGCGATGGCGGAAGACTTTGTGCTGCGGTTCCTGTGGACCCTGAGTGTGTCTGTGGGGGAAGGGCAGCTGTACAACAGCACCATTCTCAAGACTTTGTTTTCCTGTTTCGAGGTGTTCAGGTAGGCTCGTTTTTCTCGTCTGTGAGCTTCCCAAGTACTTGAGATTGTTTCAGAATGCTATCAGGTCTGCTGAAGTAATAATATGTGAGGCGTGCTGACAAAATGAATTGCTTCTCGCAGTCCAAAAATGGAGATATCAGCCAAAAATCAACACTGGGATCACATTTATAGAATTTTAATTGACGCCATTTTGTTCAAGTCTACACCCATGTTGTTATTCCATTCTTACAAGTTGTACAAACTTCACCTATCAAGTTGATGTATCAATTTCCATAATGCTAAAATCCGAGAAGTAGCTCATTTTGGCAGCACACCTCACAAATATAAATTGAAAAACGCATAGAGCTTGCTGTTGAGTGGGAATTTGCGCCCTGCAAATGCTATCTATTATTACAGTGCTTGAATGAAGAAAAAAAAATAGTCGAAACAGTTCTAACGGCCACCTGTCCAAGACATTCACCTGTACAAATGACCACTTCCCATGTCCTTCCCTGAGTTTTTGAAATATTATAATAACTCCATTCAAGACGTCCACCTGTCTTAGATGATACCATACTTACGACTTTGTTCTCCTGTTGTGAAGTGTTCAGGGAAGTTTGTCTTGTCTGTGAGGAGCTCAAGAGAAAAAAAGAAAAACATCTTGTCTGTGAGGAGCTCAAGAGAAAAAAGGAAAAAAAACCCGTTGTCTTACCTGTGTTAATAGAATCGTTGATGATAGGGTTAGGTTAGATGATGTCTTTTTTAAAGTTTTAGTAAGAGTTTTACGACATTTGCAGCATAATAAGGTCATATAACTGCCAAAGATTAGAGATGTTACAAGAGAGTAACAAACATGAAAAAGAAGGAGGGGAGATCCGGCTGATAGATGTCTTTAGTTTTAGTAGAGGTTTTACGGCGCTCGCCACTGCATAAGGTCCTATGAGCGTCAGAAGATTAGAGGTGTTACAAGAGAGTAACAAACACAAAAAAGAAGGAAGAGAGATCAGGATGATAGATGTCTGATAGGGAAGAAGGAGCAGACCACACCAGAGCACCCGTCAAACAACCGCCGCTTACAGACCATGTCTAATGTTTTCTCCTTTGTTTGTTCCTTTTTTTTTTTCAGGAGGTTTGTGTGGAACTTTTTCCGTCTGGAGAACGAACATCTGAACAACTGCGGTCAGTTCCGCGCCGTGCGAGACATCTCCATCGGGCCGATCGACTCGAACTACGAGCAGCAGCTGCTGGACGTGATGGACGACGAGGACGGCTCCAACTGGAGGCTGCACGACAAGCGCCGCGGGGGACTGAGGTCTGTGGAAAAAATTTTTTTTTTCTAACTCCTTGGAAAAAAAAACTTCTTGGAAAAAAAAAGATTTTTTTTTTTTACCCCTTGGAAAAACGTGGTTTTTTTTTTAACTCCTTGGAAAAACGATTTTTTTTAAAACTACTTTCCTTTTACGGCAAGTTGGGCAGGGCAATGAGTTGCTTTATAAAGTATCCAGATAAGAATATGTTAGTGCACCTCTTCGGCAAATATGTTAAGAACCACTTTGACAAATTAATGGGTTAGAATAGAACCATATTCGACAAACGGGCTCAAATCACTTTAATAAAAACAGGTGTACCCACTTCCGCAAATGGGTTAGGAAAGAGACTTAAGAGTCTGAATTCGGATAATATTTCATTGAAAATTATCAGGTTATCCGAATAGATTATCTGGATTCTGGCCACCCCTACCGGCTAGCTGCTCCCAGCGGTTTCGATAGGGTTGGGTGGGGGGGGGCACTTGGGAGAGGGGTGGGGGGAGGGGGACACTTGGGAGGGAGGTGGGGGGGAGGGGGACACTTGGGAGGGGGAGGGGGGGACTCAGGTCGGTGGAAACAAATTTTGTTTTTAAAAACTCTTTTTTCTCCGGCAAGTTGCTCCCAGCGGCTTTGAGTCGCGGGTGTGGACTTGGGTGGGCTGAATGAAAGGGAAAATTCTTAAAACTGCTTTTTTCTAATGAGCTGCTCCCATATCCGATATCTTACTGGTCCTAAAGGGGTGCTGGAGGGCACCACTGTAGGTCATATGTCTTTTTAAAAATTTAACAATCCCATTTTTGTTTTGGCTTTATATTTTACATACAAAACCAAAATTGTTTAACTGTCTTCACCTGTATCGGCATAAAAGTGAGCCCTTGTGGTATATATATGTATATCAAAGCAAAATATAAACAACTGAACGACTGAATGTTTGTGTGTGTGTGTGGGTTTTCAGGATATTCAAAGAGTCTCACCTGTTTTTCACCAACGATGATGATATAAACAACTGATCTTTTCTTTGTGTGTTTTCAGGATGTACAAAGAATCTCGCCTGTTCATCGACGACGATGACGAGAGAGTTCCATTGGTCAACGGCAGCAAACAGCTGAAGCGAATCTGAGAGAAAGGAAGGGACAGAGAGAGGGAAGCCGGGGGCGGGGGAGGAAAGGAAAGACACTTGTGCTGGATGCAGGGATGCCTATTTTCCATAAGTTCCCCCCTTTTTTTCTGTTATTTTCACTGGAAGAACAGTTGTTATTTTCTGCATTTCGTTTTCTGTTTAATCCCTTTTTAGCTATTTTCTGTGGGACCCCCTAATAGCTATGTCTTTTTGTTTTCAGTTGCGACTTTGTCAATTTTCTGTTATTTTCAACAACATTTCAGTTTCAGTGGCATTATCCCTGTGAATGTGTTTGGTCATGCTGATTTGCAATTAATGTGAAGGGTGCTGACAAAAATGAGTTACTTCTCGGATTTGAGACCTAAGGAAATAAATGCGCCTCGCTTATAAGTTAAGTTTTTACAATTTATAAGTATGAAATAATAAAAGGCTTATTGTACTTAAATTTAAAGAATATGGCATCAATAGAAAATTATCTACAAATTTAACCCTAGTTTCTATTTCTGGCCAATACCTCCATTTGTGGATTGGGAGAAGTAACTCTTTGTCAGCACGTCACACAATGAATAATTTTCCCTTGAGACATTGTAGGTGGTTGGGTGAGTGGGTAGTTGGCGGGTGCTCTGGTGTGGTTTGCTTCTTTTTTCCTATCAAATGTCTGTCGTCCTTATCTCCCCTTCTTCTTTTTTATGTTTGTTACTCTCTTGTGACACCTCTAATCTTCTGGAGCTCATATGACCTTATGCAGTTGCGAGCGCCGTAAAACCTCTACTAAAACTAACTTAAGAGACATTGTATATTAATGTGGAGCAGTATTGTGGTTCTCTTTCCGTGCCGATGCCGTCACAGAATTGGTCGCTTTTAAGCGCAAGGGGGCTATCCCGAAAAATGATGTTTTGAGAAAATCGAATGAAAAGTTTTTGCCACTTGTTCAGTTTCATTAAAAAAATATGGAAAGTTTTCTCTATAAACAAACAAATATACACACCAATGAAACCAAACTTCTCCTATAGGTAGGGCTATGCCCACTATTGGTCTGGGTCAAGATTTCTGGAAACCCCCGAAATCTGGGATAGCCTGCTTGTCCTTAAAAGCGACCTATTGTATCTCTCTGTGTGTTCAGATGTGCCATGACCAGATACAGTTTCCCTAGGGTCAAGGGGGTCTTTTCTTGTATGTGTTTGGATTCTGATCTCTTTGTTTCACTATTTAAACAAACATAAAGATATGTTCCTTACCAAACTTGTACATATTTCCATGTGTATCTTTTTATTCTTTAGAGTGGTGAGCATGACAATTAGGGAATATTGATGGTAAATATTTATGTATAAATTCTTTGATTTATGGTTATGTCATAATGTTTTCAAAGATTTCCTTTCTGTGTTGCCTGTTTTTATGCGGGGTGGAATGTATAAAATTTTTAATGAGCAGGTATTTTAAAGTATTATGGTTTTGCTTTTACTGTTAATGTATGTGTTGGTGTATACTGGTGCTCTCATGCGTGTCTGTGTGTGATTTGTGAGTGTGTTGTATGTTTGTGTGTGCTTTTGAGAGAGAGAGAGACACACACAGAGACACAGAGAGGGACAGAGAGGCAGACACAGAGACAGAGAGAGACAGACACAGAAAGAAAACAGAGAGAACGCGAAAGAGAAAGAGTAAGAGAGATAGAGGGACAGAGAGGAAGACAGCTAGAGAAAGTGAAAGAGAACGAGAGAGACAAAAGGAGATAGGGAGGGAGAGAGGGAGAGAGAGAGAGAGAGAGAGAGAGAGAGAGAGAGAGAGAGAGAGAGAGAGAGAGAGAGAGAGAGAGGGAGAGAGAGAGAGATGTGTATAGCAATAAGTGTTCTTCGTCTGTCCACTTTTTCCGATATAATCAAATTGGAGTTGCCTTGGTCTACTGTTTGTCTTATATGTTTTCGGGAAAAGATATGTGAACGAGATCAGATTTATGATTGATAACTGAACTTTCATGTTTTTCCTTTTGTGTGATATCGACAGTTAAAAATTTGTGCTAATGAAGTTTTAGAGATGATATCACCAGAAAACTGTTCACTTGTTCTAAGCTCAGGAGAGAGAGAGAGAGAGAGAGAGAGAGAAGAAAAACTGTAAAAAAAAAAAAAAAATTAAACCTGTATTTATTTTTTCTTGCTTTTTTTTTCTACATTTTGAATTTGAATTTCAACCAAAAATGTCTCAACTACTTGCTAGTGATGTCACAGATGATGAAACTCAAACAAATTTTCAAAATGTTGGGCTGCTGCTTTTTCTTTCCTAATCCTTACTATTGTCATTTTCCCTCTACTTCTTTTGTATGTTTGTCACACTCTTGTGAACTGTTATTTCCAGGGTGCCTTGATAGTCGAAGCAGACTTTGTGCTGTTGAAGCTGAAGAGGTGAACAGAGTAAGTCTGATTCCCTGTCAGGACTTTTCTGTTGACATCCACCCCTTGGCGGTCATGAGACCTTATGCAGTTGCGAGCGCCGTATGTAAAACCTCTACTAAAACTAAATGTTGGGCGTAACACATCTGATCAACTGATGTACAGCGACTATCTCGTGTTTTGTAGAATGCATTTAATTGTATGCACTCTCACACTTTTTTCATGTACAGTGGAACCCACTTTATAAGCATGCTGTTCATAATTTTCAGCCTCTAAGCTGTAAATGGTTGTATTTGATTTATTTTTATTTTTCTTGTAATCGTCATCAACATCATCATTATTACGGAGCACCAGATCTGAAACTGAAATTGGCAGTCATATTTTGCCACTCCTTCTCTCACTTGTTCACTGACTCCTCCTCTCACTCTTTCACTCATTCCTTCTCTCATTCATTCACTCTTTCCTCCTCTAACTCATTCTTTCATTCCTTCAATCACTCATTGACTCATTCCTCCTCTCACTCATTCACTCATTCCTTCTCTCACTCATGCACCGATTCCTCCTCTCACTCAGTCACTCATTCCTTCTCTCACTCATTCACTCATTCCTTCAATCATTCATTGACTCATTCCTTCTCTCACTCATTCTCTCATTCCTTCAATCACTCATTCGCCGATTTCTCCTCTCACTCATTCACTCATTCCTTCAATCACTCATTCACCGATTCCTCCTCTCACTTATTCACAGACTTTTCCTCTCACTCGTTCTCTCACTCATCCACTGACTCCTCCTCTTACTCAGTCACTCATTCATTCTCTTACTCAGTCACTCATTCATTCTGTCACTCATTCACTCGTTCCTCCTCTCACTCATTCACCCATTCCTTCTCTCACTCATTCACTCCTTTTGTCAGTACTTCCATGTGACATGCTCACACAGTGGACAGGCTCACATTCCTCCTCCATGTTCTGTCTGTCTCTCGTGTTATTCTTGGGTCAAGTGCTGGCTCTGTCTATAATTAACATGCATGGCACAAAGTGTTTTCCTTTTAGTTGTTTTTTTTTTTCTCCTCGATGCTTTTTTTATTCATGTAATTTTGACTTGTTTTAATGTTTTGATTTTAGCTGAGTTTGTCTTTCATTGCTCCGTTCAAATCCATGTAATATTTTTTATTTCATTATGGTATGTAATATAGTTTAGGCATGAACTTTTGTAGAAAATTGTGTATTTGAATTTTTGTTTTACTGTTAGAGTGCGTTCTTGGATGTTTGTTTTAATTAAAATTAGTGAGGCAGCGGGGTGAAATCAGGCGCTCGTCAAAATGATAAAAGTAAAGAAAGTGACACTTTTCCGCTGGTTTGACAATTTTTGTCGAAATTTTGTTTTTTTAGCACAACACTTTCTATGTCCATTTACGCTCCCAGGTCAGTGTGAATTATATTGAAAAACGCTGATTAAAGGCACAAAATATGTAAATGATGAGTTTCCACTGACTATGAGGCTTTGTAAATAACCAAACTTTGGTGGCCATTTTTTCCCTAATTTTACCTCTGAAACCTGATGACCCCCCACCTCATTCAATCGCAAAATATATTGACATATACTCAAGATAAATGGGCAATTGTTTCGTCAAAAGCAAGGCAAATGAACAAGCTGCAATGTGACACCAATAACTCGACATGCCCAAAAATTGCTGAGCGCCTAATTCTACCGTGGTGTGACACGTATGGTAATATAATGGGATATGACGATGTCATGTTCTGTTCACTGTATCCGATTGTGGGAAAAATTTGCTCTCCGTGATCCCTTGTAACCTGATAAGCCTGTGTTAACTGGGTCAAAGTAGTAGCCTTCTCGGTCATCCGGGGTCAGGGATGTGGCTGACATTGGCGATCAAGGTACCCCCCATTCCTTCCTGTTGTGTTATCAGTGCTTCTGATTTGAATTTTGTATTCACCAAGTGCTTGTGAAAGGTTTTCTGTGTGGAGAGGGGAACCTTTGTATGGAGTTCAACATTTTGCCTAACCATGTTCCTGGAACCTCGTAATTATACCATAATGATTTGATATGATGGTGTAATAATTTGCATTTATATAGAGCATGATATCCATGTTCTACAGCATGCTCTATAATATGCCTTTCGACTGTTGTTACCCCAGCAGACTCTGGTACACGACTCGGAGTGGGTGGTTTGCGGGTGCTCTGGTGTGGTTTGCACCTTCTTACCTTTCAAACATCTATCATCCTTATCTCCCCTCCTTCTTCTTTTTTTGTGTTTGTTACTCTCTTGTAACACCTCTGGTCTTCGGCACTTATATGACCTTATAAGTTCTCCAAAAAACACTCCAAAAAAAACCCAAACCCAACATAACTCGGAAACGTTCTCGGCTTCTTGGGAAACACACTGTACGAGCAGCCAGTTACGCGTTCAAACACTGACGAACTGGCCAGATCTGTCTCTGTGTATAACTGAGTACCTACATGTATTTCCGTGTTGGGAAGTGAGGACAATTTGTGGTAAGTACCATAACCAAGAACACAATGTCAGACTCCTGATAAGGTTTGAACCCGTGACCTTTTAGTTGGGAACCTGACGGCGTAGGCACTAGACCACCAACACCCCGACGACGCTTGGCTATGTATCCAGGGAGGTGGGTCTCACTCTCCAATGTTTGCCTTTTGTTTTCCATCCACTTGTCTCAGAGAACATGATAAAGGGGGTTCAAAAAATGGGGAAAGTTGGAGTACTTGTACTTGTGGTAGTTTTTTTTAAACTTTCCTTTCCCGTGGCCCAAATCCCCTTATGTACAGTGCAGCTGAGGACTCTGGAGGGACTCTTGAGCTGGGGAGAAGTTTGATAACAGTGAGGCATCGTGGTGGAATCAGGCTCTCGTCAATTTTTGGGCATGTAGAGTTATTGGTATCACCTTAAAGCTTGTTCACTTGTTTTTATTTGAATATATAAATGTCCATTTATCTTGAATACAAGTCGAGATATTTGCGAATGAAGGAGATGGGGGTCACCTGTTTTCAGAGGTAAAATTAGTAAGAAAATGGCAGCCAAAGATTAGTTATTTCCTTAACTTATGAGTCCGTGGTAGCTGAAAATTAACATTTTTTGTTCCTTTAATCAACGTTTTTAAGAAAAATCTACACAGAAATGAGTTCTTTAATGGGCATGAAAGGTGTTGAGCCAAAAAACAAAGAATTGATAAAAATTTACAAACCTGCGGAAAAATGCAAGTTTCTTCACTTTGATTATTTTGACAAGAGCCTGATTCCACCACGCTGCCTCATTTTAATAGTTGTAGTTTGATAATCTTTCCTTTTGTTTCTCCGGAGCTCCTTATGTACAACCTGACTGGGCACCCCCCCCCCCTCCCCCGTGAAAGGATTGGGTTCTCTGGTGTAATGGTGAGACACTTCCTCAGCACACACAGAAGACCTGAGCTTGATTCCCCAGTGGGGAGACTTTTGATTGGGATATCTCGGTTTTTCTGCTGGGATGCTGCATCCCTTTTTGCGT